TTTTGCAGATTTTACTCCAATATGTCTTGATGTGGCCTCCTTTTGTTGATTTTGATGGGAGTTCTCTGTGCCTCCTAGATTTGGATGTCTGTCTCCTACTCCAGATTAGGGAGGTTTTCAGCTATAATTTGCTCAAATAAACCTTCTGCCCATTTTTCCCCCTCTCCTCTTCTGGAACTCCTATGATATGAATGTTGTTACACTTTACAGAGTCATTGAATTCCCTGAGTCTGTATTCATGATCAATATTTTTCTTTCCCTCTTCTTTTTAGCTTTATTATTTTCCATAATTTTGTCTTCTATATCACTTATTCATTCCTCTACTTCTTCTACCCTTGTGGTCATTATATCCAGTCCATTTTGCATCTTGGTTATAGCATTTTTTTTTTTTTTTAATTTTGGCCTGACTAGTTTTTAGGTCTTTTATCTCTGCACTAAGGGACTCTGGTGTTTTCTATGCTTTTCTGAAGCCCCAGCTAGTATCCTTCTGATTGTTGTTTTAAATTCTGGTTCGGGCATATTACTAATATCTGTTTTGATTAGATCTCTGACCATTACCTCTTCTTGTCCTTTCTTTTGGGGTGAATTCCTCCATCTTGGCATTTTTTCTAGGTCTCTGTATTCTGTGTTATGAAAAACTGTTATGTTTCATGCTCCTGAGAGTAATGACTATATTAAGAAGAGGTCCTATCCTGTCCAGGGCCTGGCACTTCAGGAATTGTTTCTGATGTATGCTGCATGCACTCTGCTGTTGTGTTTTGGCTGCTTTTTCCCTCGGGTCAGTTCTCTTCAGAGTTTCTCTTTGCCTGCAGTGGTTAGTGTTTTAACAAGGCGTGTTTTGGTCTGCTTGTTAAAAGAGGCTAGATCCTGTTTCTCCTAGAGCTGAAGCTTTTCAGCACTCTATGGTCAGTAGACTTGATGCGTGCAAGGGGTTTGTGCTTGTCTTTTGGGGGAGAGGCCCACTACTGTTTTGAGTCTCAGGCACACTTGCCCTAGTTCAGAAGCACCTGTAGAGATGCAGAGGTGCGTGGCTTGATGTAAGTGACCCAAGCCTCCACTGTGGGGCACTTTGCTGCTCACTGAAGTTCCTCCATGCTGATGGGGAGGGTGAGGGAGGTGGGGGGGTGTGGAAATGGCATCAGTGGGCTCTCTGGTCCCCAGAGAGTGGAGTGTGCACCCACTGCTGCTCAGGGAGCTCTCATAGAAGAGCAAACAATTTCCCCTCATTTGTCCCTGGCATCCCTCAGATCACTGCCTTCACCCTGTCTGTGTCTGAGATGTCTGCCCTTCCAGTCATTCAGTGCTCCTGTGTTTTATTTCAGACACACTGGCTGGGTTTCAGAACTCCAAATTTTAGGGACCTAGTGCCGTATGGACCCACACTGATCCACTGGAGGAGGGTCTGGTCAAGCTGTGGCTGGTGCCAGTTTGTCCCAGAAGAGCAGTCACACAAATGTGTAGGGGCTTGAAGTTTATGGTGAAGTGCAGCAAAAAGCCAGTGTCCAGATTATATGCCCTCTGTAGGTGTCTGTGCTCATGTGCTAATGAACAGAGAAGCCCAACAGGCTCTTTTGTTCCTGGAGAGGCAGTGCCATTTCTCCCAATACACTCCAAGAAGGAGGAGAACTGTCTCTCCCAGTGCCACCAGGGATCCTCAGAGCACACTGTCCACTGTCTGCTCCTGGGCCTCTGCCCTCCTTCTCCACAGGAGCACCTTCTCCACCAGGCTCTATGTGGAGATGTTGCAGACTTCTAAAACTTTAGTCTCTGAGCTCTGCTGCTTCTAAAAACTTGCAAAAATCAGCCTCTCTCATTTTCCCTATCAGTGGTTTTGGGGAAGTGTTTTTCTTGTGTAATGCCCCAAGTTCTAGTCTCTCTCTCTCTCTCTCTCTCTCTCTTTCTCTCTCCCCCCTCTCTCCCAGATTAGGGCTCTCTCCCCTCCACAGCACCTGTGATTCTTTTCTCCCCCAAATCACATCTCTGCATCTCCTAGTTTCCAGGATGTGACCACTTTTCTCCCTCTAGTTGTGCAGTTTGTTCTCTCAGTTCTCAGATTGATTTCCTGGGTGTTCAGAATGATTTGATATTTATCTAGCCATGCTGGAGGGACAAGGCAAATACAGGGTCCTCATCTTAACTTCTCCTCTTTTATTCTTAAAGTATAGTTTTTCCAGGTAAAGTATTCTTGTTTGGCAATTTTTTTTTCCCTTTCAGCACTTTGAATATATCTACCCACCTTCTTCGGCTTACAAGGTTTCAGCTGAGAAATCCACTGATAGTCTTAGGTGCTATTCCTTGTATAGTCCATTGCATGTGACAAGTCATTTTTCTCTTGCTGCTGTGAAAATTATTTTTGACTTCTGACAATTTAGTTATAATGTGTCACATGGTGATCCCTCTGGGTTGAACATATTTGGGAAATTTTGGGCTTCACAGATTTGGATGTTCTTTTTCCTGTGTAGATTTGAGGTGTTTCAACCATTATTTAAGTTTTTGGCCCCTTTCTCTCTCTCTCCTCCTTCTGAAACTCCTATAATATGTTGGTTCTTTTTGGTGTTGTATTAAGTCCCATGGGCTTTCTTCATTTTTTCATTCTTGTTTGTGGGTCTGAATTTATAATTTCAAATGAATTGTCTTTGAGTTTGTTGATTCTTTCTTCTGCTTAATTCTGCCATTGAAGTCCCAGAAATTTTCAGTTTGATCATTAAATTCTTCATCTCCAGATTTGTTTAATAGTTTTTATTTCTTTATTTTTATTTTTAATTTTTTTGTTTTGTTTTTATTTTCTGAGCTTCTCATTTTGTTCATGTGTTGTTTTTCTGATTTTCTTTAGTTATCTGTGTTCTCTTTTAGCTCATTGAGCTTTTTAATGACAATTTTTAGGAATTCTCTGTTAAGCAGTTCATGGATTTCCATTTCTTTGGCATTGGTCACTGAACGTTTTTAGTTTCCTTTGGTGGTGTCATGTTTGCCTGATTCCTTGTGACTCTATAGCCTTGCACTGGTATCTGTGCAACTAAAGGAGCAGGAACTTCTTCCATTCTTTACAGAGTGCTTTTGGTAGGTGAAGACCTACTCAGCAGGTTCCCAGGAAACAATCCTGCCTCTAGGAGTGCAGTTGAGCAGAACCAGGGTCAGATCATGGGGCTGTTTTCAGGTCTACAGTCAGGTCAATGGTTAGCTACTTTATTACTGGGGGCATCAGTAGGCATAGCTTGTGTTGGTTACCCAGGTGGATAAGCTACTTCTGAGTCCATAGTTGGCAGGCCTGTTACTTGGGACACAGATTGGCATGTCTCCTCCCTGGTCCCTTGGGTGGACAAGACTGACTCTGGGATCACAGTTGAGCAGTTGGAGTTAGTTATGGGGTTGCATCTAGGTCTGCAGTTGGATCTGCAGTCAGTGAGCCTGTTGTTAGGGTCACAGGCAGGTGTTATCCCTACCAGATCCACTGGTAGGCAGGACTGGTAGCACGACAATGGATGTGTGGGGCCAGAACATATACATGGGGTAATAGAGCTGCTCCTGTGTCTGTAGTCAGGCCTTGGGGCAGGGTATGCCTTCTCAAGGAGTCCTCTGTCTTGGGCTCCACTGTGGTGTTGCAACTTCCTACCTGGATTTTGAAGCTTCCATGATGGCACTTTTGTTTGTGGATGGTTGCCAAATTCGTGTTTTTTGGGGGAACGAGGGCTGGAGACCTATTCTGCCATCTTGCTAGTAACCATCAATTAGCTGCTGGCCTTGTTGAATACTATAACTTCACACTTCTTTTCAAATTCAAGGGAAAACAAAATTGGAAAATGCCATTTTTTTTCCCTACAGGGAATCATTAACTTTAAACTACTAATGCCCAAAGCATTGCTTTAAATTGGTTATTCAACTGCTCATCCTTTATAAGAATTGTTCCATTGAAATTTTGATTTTATAGATGAGAACAACTGAAGAGTTGAAGTGATAGTATTTTGGGTCGGAGTTGGGACTGTGTATTGTGTTGGCTTTGTGACACACTTGATAGGCCTCAGTTTATAAAACAATAGCAGTAAAGTAAGTGCTATATGCCTGGCACTATGCAGTACTTCTGAAAAGTTCTTTTTTTCTCCCGTCCACTTCCCTCAGATGCTGAAGTTGCTCTCATCCACTTCCTTCTCTGGGCTATGCAGAAAAAAAAAAAAACAAAAAAACCCCAAAACCCTTCATATAAAGTCTCAACTCCACATGCCTCTCTTGTCTTTCTCTGTATTTTTTCTTTTGTTCCAAATTTTGCATTTCAAAGTCTCAAAGACTTAGTTAAGCAGAAATGACCCATTTTCAGAGAGAAAGGTAAGAAAGTAAATAGGCAAAGCTAAGATTCATCTTTAGGGAATAGTGAAAAGGGGACGTAGTGAGAACATTAAAATATTAACTATTTTTGCTCCTCCACACACAGTCATCTATGTGCTATTTGTGCTTTTTTCTATAATTTCTCATATGATTTCTTCTGCATGTTGAAATTCTTATTTTTGAAGGCCACCTGCTCAGCTGAACATCTTGGCTGGAAGTGATTGCTCTCTTACCTCCTCATGTTTTTTGGGAGTTACCACTTGTAGTATAACTTACTATGTACATTTCTTCCTTACTAAATTAGGCAAGAATCATGCCATTTTTCTCAGTGACCTTCAAAGCCTGGTTTCTCAAAGTATAATCTCCAAGCCAGCAGTATAGACATTACTGAGAGCCTGTTAGAAATTCAGAATCATGGGCTCTGCTCCAGACCTATTCAGTGAGAATCAACATTTTAACAAGATCCCCTAATTTATTTGTATGATCATTAAAATTAAGCCTTTGTTATAATCAGCTGACTTGGTATTTTACATTATATTACCCAAGAACCATCTTATAACACACCAACTAGCAATGCTCAGGGATTTCTTATTTTTATTCATTTACTAGAAGCTCTTCCCAGCTATAACACTGTTATTCTGTTATACTTTAAATACTTTGGGTAATTTGGATACCATTACCTTCTTTATTACAGGTCTTAGGCGTCAAAGATTCGGCACAGGTGTCTTTTTCAAGTTCATTTCTTCCGTCAAGTACTTGTCTGTTGTTTTTTTTAATTGAAAAAGGATTAAAAAGAAAATTATAGGGTTAATATGTTACAGACTTTGAAGTATTAAATACTTTCAAACTTCTGAAGTTTTGAAAATGTAATAAAAAATTTCTTTGGAACCTTTCAGCAATACAATCATTTAAATACCATAAAAACATTGAAAATCGTTTTCAATTTTCCCATCATTAAATAATTTATAGGACATTTTTGGAGAATAATTAAATTCAAATTTAAGATACAAATAAAATGTTTTACATATATGATTTTCAAAAGAAGTAATGGAAACAAAATGTGACACTCTAAACTGCTGGGGTTTAGAAGATTTGAATGTATGGTAAAAATTTCCTATTAAGTAAATTTTATTTTCCTAACTTTAAAAGTAACCTATTACTATAGGAAAATTTAAAAACCACAGGAAAAAAACATTAATATAATACAAATATCCAGAGTTCTCATCTGGATAATTAGCTCCTATACTTACTATTATGCATTTTTAAAAACAAAGCTGAGATAGTATTGTCTTATAATGTTTTTTATAGTTCTCATACGTTTTTTGTTAAATGTTTTTTTAAATTATTATACATTAAAATGAACTTTTAAAGATGTAGATTCTAGGGCTAGCTCAGTTGGAAGAGCATGAGACTCTTGATTTCAGGTTTATGAGTATGAGCCTCACTTTGGGTTTAGAGATGACTTAAAAATAAAAAAAATCTTTAAAAAAAGATGTAGATTCTGGGAATTTAACAGATGTATACATATAGGTTATTGCTGGGGTGCCTGGGTGGCTCAGTCAGTTAAGCAGCCTGTTCTTGATTTCAGCTCAGGTCATGATCTCAGGGTTCTGGGATCGAGCCCTTGTTGGGCTCTGTGCTCAGTAGGGAGTCTGCTTGAGGATTCTCTCTCTCCCTCTGTCCCCTCCCAAATAAATAAACAAATCTTAAAAACAAAACAAACATTTCTGTTACTGCTACCAGTATACAGAATACAAAATAGTCTCAGCATGTCAAAAAAACAAACAAACAAAAACTCCCTCACACTTAACAGTCACACTCTCCCCTACTAGTAATCCCTAGGAACCACTAATTACTCCTCCATAACTATAGTTTTGACTTCAAGAATGTCGTGTAATTGTAATTATAGGTAAAAACTTGTGACTGGGTTCTGTCACGCAGTATAGTGTTCTTGATATTCAGCCAAGATGTTAAATTCAGTAGTTCACTTTTTATTGCTTAGGAGTATTTCACTGTATAGGTGTATCAGTTTGTTTATTCACCTTTTTTTAAAATTTTTTATTGTTATGTTAATCACCATATATTACATAATTTGTTTTGGTGTACTGTTCCATGATTCATTGTTTGTTCATAACACCCAGTGCTCCATGCAGAATGTGCCCTCCTCAATACCCATCACCAGGCTAACCCATCCCCCCACCCTCCTCCCCTCCAGAAACCTCAGTTTGTTTTTCAGAGTCCATCATCTCTCCTGGTTCGTCTCCCCCTCTGACTTACTCCCCTTCATTCTTCCTCTCCTGCTATCTTCTTCTTTTTCTTTTTTCTTAAAATATGTTGCGTTATTTGTTTCAGAAGTACAGATCTGTGATTCAACAGTCTTGCACAATTCACAGTGCTCACCGTAGCACATATCTTCCCCAATGTCCATCACCCAGCCACCCCATCCCTCCCACCCCCCACCACTCCAGCAACCCTCAGTTTGTTCCTGAGATTAAGAATTCCTCATATCAGTGAGGTCATGTGATACATGTCTTTCTCTGATTGACTTATTTCACTCAGCATAACACCCTCCAGTTCCATCCACGTCGTTGCAAATGGCAAGATTTCATTCCTTTTGATGGCTGCATAATATTCCATTGTGTATATATACCACCTCTTCTTTATCCATTCATCTGTCGATGGACATCTTGGCTCTTTCCACAGTTTGGCTATTGTGGACATTGCTGCTATAAACATTGGGGTACATGTACCCCTTCGGGTCCCTACATTTGTATCTTTGGGGTAAATACCCAGAAGTGCAATTGCTGGATCGAATGGTAGCTCTAATTTCAACTGTTTGAGGAACCTCCATACTGTTTTCCAGAGGGGTTGCACCAGCTTGCATTCCCACCAACAGTGTAGGAGGGTTCCCCTTTCTCCACATCCCCGCCAACATCTGTCGTTCCCTGACTTGTTAATTTTAGCCATTCTGACGGGTGTGAGGTGGTATCTCATTGAGGTTTTGATTTGGATTTCCCTGATGCCGAGCGATGTTGAGCACTTTTTCATGTGCCTGTTGGCCATTTGGATGTCTTCTTGGGAAAAATGTCTGTTCACGTCTTCTGCCCATTTCTTGATTGGATTATTTGTTCTTTGGGTGTTGAGTTTGATAAGTTCTTTATAGATTTTGGATACTAGCCCTTTATCTGATATGTCATTTGCAAATATTTTCTCCCATTCTGTCGGTTGTCTTTTGGTTTTGTGGACTGTTTCTTTTGCTGTGCAAAAGCTTTTTATCTTGATGAAATCCCAATAGTTCATTTTTGCCCTGGCTTCCTGTGCCTTTGGTGATGTTTCTAGGAAGAAGTTGCTGCGGCTTTGAAGGATATTTGTTTTCCCAGTTTTGGCGATTATGAATAAAATGACTCTAACCATTGGGTCTTTTTTTTTTTTTTAATTCATTCTGATACTCTGTGTCCTTTGGTTGGGGCATTTAGTCCATTTACTTTCAGAATGCTTATTGATATATATGTGTTTAGTGCCATTTTATTAGTTGATTTGTTGGTGTTTCTGGAGATGTTCTCTGTTCCTTTCTAGTCTGTACTTTTGGTCTTTCTTTCCAAAGAGCCCCCTTTAATATTTCTTGCAGGGCTGGTTTAGTGGTCATGAATTCCTTTAGTTTTTGTTTGTCTGGGAAACCCTTTATCTCTCCTTGTATTCTGAATGAGAGCCTTGCTGGGTAAAGTATTCTTGGCTGCATATTTTTCCCATTCAGCACATTGAATATATCTTGCCACTCTCTTCTGACTTGCCAAGATTCTGTGGAAAGATCTGTAGTCAGTGCTATAATCCCATGTAAGTTAGGGATTTCTTTTGTCCTGCTGCTCTTAGGAATTTTTCTTTATCACTGTATTTTGCAAATTTAACTATATTATGTCTTGGTGTCCGCCTAGCCTCTGTTGATTTTGATGGGAGTTCTCTGTGCTTCCTGGACTTGATATCTGTTTCCTACCTCAGACTAGGGAAGTGTTGAGCTATTATTTCCTCAAATAAATTTTCTGCCCCCCTTTTCTCTCTCTTCTTGTTTTGGGACTCCTAATACCGTTGCTATTATGTTTGAAGAGTCATTGAATTCCCTAAGTCTGTTCTCATGATCCATAATTCTTCTTTCTCTGCTTTGCTCTATTTCCTCATTTTCCATTATTCTCTCTTCTATATCACTTGTTTCTCTGCTTCTTCCATCCTGGTGTTCATTACATCCAGTCTGTTTTGAATTTCAGTTACTGCATTTTTCATTTTTTATTTCTTAAAATTCTTTTATCTCTGTGGTAAGGGTCTCTTTGACATCTTTCATATTTTTCTCCAGGTCATTGAGTATCCTTATAATTGTTGCTTTAAATTCTTCATCAGGCATATTGCTTATGTCTCTTTCAGTTAGATCTCTGGCTGTGACCTTTTCTTGTTTCATTTGGGATGAATTCCTCCATCTTGGCAGTTTGTCTAAGTCTCTGTCTTCTTCTTTGTGTTAGAAAAGACTGTTATGTTTTCTGCTCCTCAGAGTAATGGCTTTATGAAGAATAGGTCATACAGTGTCCAGGGCCTGGTGCTTCAGGAAGGGTTTCTAGTGTGTGCTGCGTGCTCTCTGCTGCTGTGTTTTGGCTGCTCTATCCTTCAGGCCAGTGTTCTGCAGAGGCTCTCCTTGCCTGCAGTGGGCAGCATTTGGACCTTAGCCAGAGTGTGGCAAGTTTTAATGGGTTTGCTATGGTCTGCTTGTTAAATGAGACCTGATGCTACTTCCACTAGAACTGAAGCCTTGGAGAACTCTGGTCAGGAGACTTGGTGTATGCAGGGGTTTCTGCTGGTCTTCTGGGAAAGGGGCCCACTGCATGGGGATTAAGCCACATATCCCCAAGAGGGGCAGTACCAGCAGAGTGCAGGGGGGCAGGATTTGGTCTAAGAGGTAAGGTAGCCAGTGTTGGCACTGTGCTATTTACTGAAGCTGGTTTATGCTGAGGGGTGGGGGGAGGGAAGTGGTGCCAGCCAGCTCCTTTGTCCCTGGAGAGAGATCTGCATACTTGCTGCTCTCAGGGAAGCACTCCCAGAAGGGCAAACAATCTCCCCCCCTGTGCGTCACAGGTGTTTTTCAGATCACTGTTTTCACATTGTCTGTGTCCAGGTTGCTTGCCTGCCAGGAGCAGCACAGTGCACTTTGGGCTCTATCCCAGCCAAGCCTGATGACTTTTAAAACTCTAAACTTTAGGGATGTGGTGTGGGGGGGTTTGTGCTGGTCTTCTGGGGGAGAGTCTCCAGGTTTGACCAAGAAGGGCAGTTGTGCCAGAACATGGGGCATGGGACTTAGAGCAAGCAGGCTAGGCAGACAGTTCGTGGTGAGCCACCCTCAGCAAGTGGTTCTGTGGCTATGCCAAGGGGTGGGGATGAGAAAGAGCGCCCACCAGCTCTTTTGTCCCCAGAGAGGCATCTCTGCAAATGCCACCTTTCACAGATGCACTCCAAGAAGAACAAATGATCTCTCCTCTGTGGGGTGTAAGCATTCCCCACATCACCCTGTCTGCTCCCAGTGCTGCTTGCTTGCCTTCTCTCCAGGAGTAGGGCAGTGCCCTCAGGGTTCTATCCCAGCCAAGCCTACCAACATTTAAATCTCCAATCTTTGACCCCCACTGGTTGAAAAATAACTTAGGAGGTACAGATCTGTACCTCTGAAACAAATAATACATTATATGTTAAAAAAAAAAAAGAAGATAGCAGGAGGGGAAGAATGAA